CATAATTTGGACCCCCAAATCATTTCAACTGAAAAAGTAATGAATATCAAAGTTGAATAACTCATGGAGATCTACAACTTTTATTTTGATAATTTCATAATTTGATAAATTCTTAGTACACATTGTTCACACAAACATACGTGAATGTAGTCTCAAACACACACATAAATGTAGTTTCAAACACACATACATAAATGTAGTCTCACATACATAAATATAGTTTCACACACATACATGAATGTAGTCTCACACACACATACATAAATGTAGTCTCACACACACATACATGAATATAGTCTTACGAACACTGACACACTTACATAAACTAGCTAGCCCACCATGACAACTTTTCCCTTGACACCTTTTCGTTCTCATGGTAATACATCTTTGGGCAGGTTCTTTTCCACAGCCTCGATTTTCTTACAAAAGTCTGTGAATAGCGGCATCTCATCACACTTATTGTAATCTTCAACATCGTCTACGCCATCAACTCCGATGATATGTTGTTTCCCGGAGGCCACCACGTGCTTTTGTCTTCTTCTTTGGGGGAGGTTACTTTGCGGGTCGGGCATATAGAAAACTTGCGCGACACGTTCAGCGAGCACCCAAGGGTCATCCTGGTAGCCTATATTCTGGAGGTCGACGACTCTCTGTCCGATCTCATTGAATTGATGTTGCTTGATCTAGCGGCATCGAAACAGGGCCACCTTTATATCCCTTCCATAGTCAAGTTCCCATATATCTTCAATTATGCCAAAGTACAGGACCTTTCGCCCCACTCCATCGAGAGCCTCTATTCAGACGCCGCTGTTCTGATTCACAGATTCCCTATCCTTTGTGTCGGTATAGTATGTGTACCTATTGATGTCATAAGCATTCTAAGACATCACCTGTTTCGATGGCCCGACCGCCAACCGACTGATGGTAATAGAATCTATGGTTTCTCCAGGCTATTGTTCTGGTCCTTCAACCATGATGTCAGGCGTTGCTTATGCTGTTTCATGACCCAATCATCTGAACGGCCATTCCTCTCGGCCATAATGATAGCCATATGTTCATCAATGTACGGTTGCATCACTGCCATACTCTGCAAGACACTGTAATGCACCCGACTCACCTCTCTATAATCATTGTCGAGGAACACTTTCCTACCACTTGTGTCCTTCCCAGCTAGCCTTCCCTTATGACGAGAATCGGGATTACCAATCCCTCTCTGTACTTTTAGCCACTCTTGGCAGCACTCGACGACTTCTTCAGAATTGTAACCCTTTATCATGGAGCCCTCTGGGTGTGTTCGATTATGCACGTATCAGCTTAGAACTGACATGAACCGCTCGTAGGACCACATTTCATGCAAGAAGCTAGGGCCCAGCGCCTCAATCTGATGAACCAGGTGAATCATGAGATATACCATTATATCAAAAAAAGCGGGAGGTAAACACATCTCTAGCTGGTTCTGGGTCTCCACCATGAATTCATATAGGTCACTCAGCTCTTGCCTGTGAATCGTCTTCTGTGAGATCTTTGAAAAGAAGTAGCACATGCGGGTGATGGCCATCTTTAGGAACTCTGGCTTTATAGCCCTGATTGCAATTGGTAGGAACACTGTCAGCATGACATGACAATTGTGAGCCTTACAGTATGTTAATGATAGGTCCTTCATCGACACTAGCTTCTTCGGGTTCGCCGAAAACCCAGTCGGCACTCTAACCCCCCTAAGGAAATTGCATATAGCTCTCCTCTCCTCTAGGGTTAGGTTGAAGCTAGCCACGGGAAGACTGTACTTGCCATTATCTTGCTGTACCGGCCAAAGCTCCCGCATCACGTTTAGCTACACCATGTCTTTCCGTGATCTGAGACCATCCTTTGACTTGCCCGTGTCCATCAAGGTAGCCATGAGACTCTCAAAGACATTCTTCTGCACGTGCATTGCATCAATGGCATGGGGGACCTCCAAGTCTGGCCAATAAGGCAGGTATTGAAAGAATATCGATTGTTTCTTGAATGGTACGCCTTCGATGGGAGGTGTGCTTCTATCTCTGATCGTTCCATCTGGATTCTTCTTTCCATAGACGACGTGTATGTTTTGGACCATTCTGAACACATGTTCTCCATTACGACGTCTCTCTGGAGGGGGTTCATCCTCCGGGATGTTGCCATAGTATCTTAGGTATAATTTGCCGTGGTACTTATGACCTGTCTTTAAGAAGCGTCGGTTCCTTATGTAAATTATCTTCCTGGATCCATCTAGGAACACCCATTTAGTACCATCCAAACAGACTAAGCATCCAGTCTTGCCTTTGAACTATCCAGACAGGACAAACAGCACGGGGTAATCATTGGTAGTAACAAATATTATTGCTTTGCATATGAAGTCCTCCTGTCAGAACGCATCGTACATCGGCTCCCCATACCTCCATAGCCTCTGCATTTCTTGCATCAGAGGCTCCAAGAATACGTCTATATCAATGCCTGATTGTTTGGGGCCGGAGATAAGAATGGTGAGGAGAAGGTACTTCCTCTTCTGACACAAATACGTTGGGAGGTTGTACATGGTCAAGATGACTGGCCATATGCTGTGGTCAGTCATCCTCTCATTGAAGAGATTCATTCCATCGGTGCTCAAGCCAAACCGTACATTCCGTGGGTCATCACTGAATTCTACTTTGTACTTGGCATCGAACGCTTGCCACTGGCTACAATCGGCCAGGTGTGCGATCGTATCATCATCCACCTTGCGATCATCATCCCACCATGTCATCAGTGTGGCTTTCTTAGGGTTTAGGAACATACGCCTCAAGCGGTCGGTCACTGGCAAGTACCACATAACCAGGGCAGGAATTCTTCTCTTATTTGCATCGTTGCCTAATGGAGTTTCCTCTGGGGGCTGAGATTCTTGCACCACCTTCTTCCCACCCTTCTTCCTCTTTCCTGTGGAGGCTTCCACCCCACTTTGAAGGTCATTGTTCTTATACCGACTAGCCCCACACCTAGGACATGTATCTAAAGTCTCGAATGATGTGCCACGCCTAAAAAGGATACAATGGTTGGGTCATGCATGGATTTTTTTCAATCCTCAATGTGAGTGGACTTATAACCTTCTTCGCTTGGTATGTGTTGACGGAAACTGTGTTCGGCCGTGGGAGCAACCGTGACATGAGGCACAACAGATCATCGAAACTACAGTCCGACCAGCCGTACTTAGCCTTCAGGATGAGTAGCTCAAGCACAAAACGTAGCAGTGTGAAGTATGTCGGACAACCCTTCTCAGCATCATACATAGTCTTCTTCGATGCTTTTGTCACCCTCTCAAGATTTTCTAGACCTCTCTTGCTCTTTTGTAATATTTCTGGTCCAAAGGCCTCAAGCATTTCATCCAAGTTGTCACCATCATCTGCATCCCCCTCACGTGCTTCGCCGTCATTGCTAGCACCACCAGCATCACCACCACCTTGTTCATTGCCAAAGCCACCACCTTGTTCATTGCCATAGTCATGATCCATTTGTTGCTCAAGATTGTTTGTGGATCGAAACAAGTATGCTTGGGTTTTAGCTTCATCAGCTAGATCATCGTCGCTGTCATCAACAACCACTGTTTCACCATGATAAATCCACATTATGTAGTCCGGAACAAATCCTCTCCTAATCAGATGTTCTTTGATGGTACTCACATCTCGAAATGTAATAAGGTTCTTGCAATCTTTACAGGGACAAATAATCGTGTCACTATTCTTTTTCAACGTCGCTGCATGCTTCTCTGCGGCTTTGATGAATTTATCCACCTCATCATGGAAAAGAGCGTCGTGTCTTAACGAACCATACATCCAAGAGTTCATGTAGTCCATCTTATAAAAACAAAACAACCAAAGAAAGAATATTACTCGAGAATAATTGTATATACCTGAGACACGCACCATGGTAGTAGAGGATAGTTAATTAATTGCCTATTAATGCATAAATATTTTAAAATATAAATTAATTGGTTCAAATAAATAATTTCAAAGAAAACAATTAGCAACATTTAATATTTCATCCACTACCTTTCATGCAAACTCCATTCCAATTTCATGGTAGAGGATAATTAATTAATGGCATATTTATCCATAACTAATTAAAAACACACATTATAGAAAAGAATCAAAATAAATATTAAATGATAATTAGTAGCCATGATAGAGGATATTTTACACATTAGCATCAATTAAAATCTTACGCATTCACTTACATGCAAACCCTAGTCACGTAAAGAAAAAATTGAAAAAAAAAAAAACAAAATCCTAGTTCTAGATCTAGATATAGGGTTTCATGACATATGTATCAAACTTCACTAATACTACAAAAAAATCAATAAAGATGTACTAACGAAGGGTGCAATCTTACTTTCCTACCTAATTTACCTTAGTATAGTGAAAATTAAGGTCCTATTTCACTCATAACTAGCTCAAGCTCCATGGAAAAAAGAGAAAACAAAAAATCAAATTACTCACTAACCAATGAATTAAACTTCAAATAAAAAGTTGGAGAAGCATTTTCTTACCTTTTATAGCCTCTCTACTAAAGGATTTGAGATCAAAACCTCCCTCTTAGTAGAGTAATTTTTAGGATGAGCCAAAGACCTCCCAACCTTTTTTTTAAGAATAGTGTGTCTCGAGGTGGAATAAGAGAGTGACTGCTATTTATTCATGCGCCATCAGTAGGGGCGGCTGGTGATTCAGCCGCCCCTACAGTCGAACAGCAGGGGCGGCTGACAGCCGCCCCTACAAAAATGGGCACTGCAGGAGCGACTGGTGATTAAGCCGTCCCTACTGATCAGCCCTAACTGTAGGGGCGGCTTAGGTTACCAGCCGCCCATACAGTGTCATCTGTAGGGACGGCTGAGCTGCTGGGGTCCGAGAACGTCCACTCTAGGGGCGCCCCAACCCCAGCTACACCTACAGTAAAAATACCCCGCTGCTACGTAGGGAATCTGGCGTAGTGTTATGGAGTGGTGATGCTGCTTATCATTCATGTGAACTCCGATCCTGACCTCGTGACTCGGGGGAGTCGTCGACCTTCTCGGAGTAGGGCCAGGTGTAGCCCCTGTATCTGCTGTTCTTCCCCAGCGCCATCTTCTCCTCCATGGTCTGCTCGAAGAACTTCCGGCTGTCGGCGAACTCCCGTGGTTGATCACGTAGAAGAACCCGTACTCCACGCACGCCTGCTACACGCATTGCTTTTACACTGTGTTAGTATAGGCGTAGTAGCTGCGCTACGAAGCAGGAAACTCTTGCAAAGAAGCAAGGTATACGTATGAAAAGGAGCGGAGCTCGAATGCTCGATGGGACCTGGCGGATGGACTTGGCGGCGGCGCGAGGGTCCGGGGACGCGAGGTCCAGGCGGCTGCCGGCGGCCATGGATCGATGACGATGATGTCCTGCTTAGCTTGCGCGGCCTCGATCGATCGAGGACGAGAGGAGGCTAGCGAGAGCGGCGCACTAGGCTGGCTCTCCTCTGTGCTGCTAATGCTCTACGAGGGTAGAGGCTTGGCTGCTGCTGGCTTCACCTAGCTCGATCCTGAGCCCTGAATTGCCTACCTTCCCCCACCGATCGATTTTATAGCACAAGTAGTAAGCGAAGCGTGACCGTTTCGCGTTTGCTCGAGGCACGTCACGAACGAGCTGATACCCACGCATGAGTACTCAAACTCTAAAAAACAAATACGCAAACATTTTAAACTTTGACTACGATCCTTTTGGTTGGTTTGAAAATATACAACAGGGCATGTAGTTTCGATCCATATTTTATAAATATTTTACAGCGAAAAACATGGATGGGGGGAGCATCATCGTCTTTGTGTGTCAGCACTCAACACTAGTCGTCGTCTGTGTTCCCGGCCTCACGGGTCGTCGACCTGTTCGTTTATGCTGAAATTTAACTTATACTAAAATGTTATGAGAAAAACACTATTTCATAGCGATTGAAAAGTAGCTCAAGCGAACAGGGGAGATCGAGCACGGCCCAGGCCCACGCTATGATTTGCCCGGCTGGTTTCTCAGTTCGGTCAGCTGTACAGGAGCACACACAGTCTGCTGTATGCTCGTGTTGCAACATTCAGATGAACTTGCAGGTACTTGAACAACACGATCGAGTATGCGAGTACCAAATCGAACGCCCGATTGCTGATCTCATTGCAGGAGCATCATTGTTGGTAATGGCAAGCTGCTGACAGTTAGTAATGAAGATTTGTGAGGTGCCTGCAATGAGGTACTCCGTATACAACATGGGGACGTAGCTCATATGGTAGAGCGCTCGCTTCGCATGCGAGAGGCACGGGAGTTCGATTCCCCGCGTCTCCAGTTTCGCTGCATGCGGTTGACATTCCTTTGATTTGATAGAAGTTTATCCTTTTTCTCTATCGTTTTCTTTTGACATTCCTTTGATAGAAGTTTATCTTTTTTTCTCTCTCGTCTTACCAGACTCAATACACACAGCTTCTCAGACTCGTCGTTTTTCCCCCCAAAAGTTGAAAGTATTCATTAAGATCATGAAAAACATTACAAGGATGGGGGAAAAAGTATCCTATAGAGATGGTACACGCATGAGCTTCACATAACATGATTTTTGTTGTTGTATATATATGAGCCTGTTCGGCTAAAGCGGCTACAGTGCTTTGTAAGAGGAGGATAAACCGTAGTCGCAGCTGCTGTAACAACCAGCTGTAGCTACAGGCTATGAAGCCCTATGTTTCCTTCCACTGAGTTTTCCTTTGACATTTTCATTGATGGGGCGGTTTTGAGGGAGGTGGGGCTGATGTGGGATGGGAGGAGCTTGAGCGGCAAGAACGAAGGAGGGTCAGAGTGCAACACGAGTACAACCAACCATCGAGCTTGAGGCAGGCCCTGCTTGCTACGCCGTTATAATGGTACTCTCCCCGTTCCAAAATAGATCTTATTTTTATTTTTCGAGAAGTCAAACACCTTTTTAACTTTGACCAAATATATAAAAATATTAATATTTATAATATATAATTAGTATCATTAGATAGATAGTTAAATATACTTTCATAATAAACTTATTTAGAGATATAAATATTGCATGTATTTTCTACAAACCTAATCAAAGTTGAGAAAGTTTGACCTGCACGTATTCCATAACGACTTCTATTTTGGGATTAAGGGACCAAACTAAATAATCCAAAGACTAACCCCACAGTTTTCAAGATCGATAAAGTCACTGTACATGTTTTGCAATTGACGAATTGCACATCTTCACCTTCTACGAGTTAGGCTTTCAAATTTTGTAGCGGAAACAAATAGGACATAAATTGGGTTAGCAAACTAGAGCCTAGAGAGCTTGTCTAGAGGCGGGGTGTGTGGATCCAGGGACTAGCGAATATTTGAATGTCATTTATAAGGACTAAACATGAGATAATTATAAAACTAATTACATAAATTGTTATTAATTTACAAGACGAATTTATTAAGTCTAATTAATCCATAATTAGCATATGTTACTGTAGCATCACATTTGTTAAGCATGAACTAATTAGGCTTAATAGATTCAGCTCGTGAATTAGTCATGATTTATGTAATTAATTTTATAATTAGTCTATATTTAATACTCGATGAGTGTCCAGACATCTAACAGAGCTAAAGTTTAGTCCGTAAGAACAAACACGTGGCCAAACGTTGACGAGACGCGAGTCTTTGGGCCTAGGCTCCGTGGCACTCGCCTTCCTTCTCCAAGCCCGGCTTGTGAGAACTGGGCTATCGAGCGCCCTCGAAAAGTCAAAAGGACCAGCCCATCGCGACCCATTATCACCTTCGCATCGTCCCGTGCCCGGGTGGAACTCCCAAATCCAACGCAGCCACGGACCGCCGGCGCCGCTAATAAATCCACCCCAAAGGCCCAAACTACCGGGTGAAAGGCTGCTGGGGCCCCCCGTGGGCCAAAACAACTGGGCAGATCCAGCCCAGCAGCTCCCCTCCACAGCAGACGATCGACAGAAGCCCGACGCTCTCCCCTTCCCCGCTCGGTTAGGTCGCGACTGCGGACTCCCCGCCGTCCGCGCGATTCCCGACGCTGGCCGTCGCCGTCGCCGCCTCCTGCAAGCCGCGGCCGTGTCTCCAGCCGACCAGCCGCGGCCAGGTGCCCAGGTCTCCAGGAGAGAGGGTCACAACCTCGCGGGCTCACGGCCGCCCCGCTGGCGCCGACGCCTGGCCGCCCCTTGCCCCCTTCTGCCGCTAAGAGTCAGAGTTCAAGTTTCAAGGTGATGAGAACAGAGTACAGAACAGTACCATATCTAGTTGTTCAATTGCAATGTTCAAATATTCAGTGAATGTCAATGTATTTCCTAATGTCAATCAAATACAGAACATTACCCCCGCGTCTCCTTGTGTCTGCCTCCGTGGATCCAAATGTTGTCGAGGCTCTCCCGCGCCGGCGCTGGCGCCGGCCTCCAGGCCCTGAGCCGGGCGAGACCAGTTCCGTGATCCATCTCTCGGTTCAGTCCTCCTCGCAGCGTCCCTGTTTTCCATTGCTGCTGTGTTTCGCGTTTGGTCCTAAGGGTATCAAGTTCTAATTAGCCTATATGTGCGAATAGGTTCGGTTTGGGTTGGGACTTATGTTTTAAGCAACTATGGTGAATTGCAGGCCATCCATAGTTCTGGTTGTTGTTTGTCTGTCACACGGTCTGTACTAGAGTGCCGGGTGACGCATTGTCTGTCTCATTGCTTCTTCTGATTTTTTTCTGGTTGGTAACTTGGTAAGCCATGTGCCCAATATTAACCTAACTGACTGACAATTTTCAGTCAAATACCCTTTTGGGGTAATTCATATTAATTAGCTATTTCATGAAGAGCATCTTTCAATTTGTGTTTGGCCGTTTGGGTCCTGCATCTTTATTTTGAAAGAGATGCAGTTAGTTCATGTATCTTTGATCCCGTGAGAGGCTCTTTACAGTTGTAAAGGATGCGTGCTCGTGACCTCGGGTCTGGGCTTACCACGCACTCTCCTGGCTAAGCTCATCACGACTTACTATTTGGATTCTATGCAAGTAAAATACAATTTTATTCCTTTTTCCTAAAAAAAGAGAAATTGTAACCAGCGGTTAAAGTTACTTTTAAAAGAATGCTCTCTTTCACATTGGCCCACGTTTTGGACTGGTCTGCTCAACAGCCTTTTGTGACTACATTTCCTCAACATGATCTACCTAAATTCTTCTGACCATAAATACCAGGGCAAGGTTCAATTACTTCAAGGAGCAACGAAGTGGGGGCCATTAGCTCTTATATGATCCGTGCGGTTAGTTGTTTCCCTTTTCTGTAGTTCTTGATCTCCTTTTCATGTCATAGAATTTGTACTTCCTGTTGCATTATGAAATTTACTTCTCTTCAAAGTTTTCTTAACTTTCTTTTCTAGTGTCTGTGGATTTATGGAAATTGTGTGCATTTGTTGCCAACATATACAAGATATGTTCCATTGCAACTGCAGTTTGTGCTAACTAGATCTCCAAACTCCTTAACTCGTTGCTTCATTTTTTTCCCTCGAACACTCGTTGCTTCTTTTTTTCCCTCGAACACTTGTTGCTTCATTCAAAATATTAGATATACCTTGGCATATTTTAGTATATATGAAGCTGTAGCTTCTTACTCCAAATAGTATTGTTCACTGGAATAACAAATGAAATACTTTCTTTCAGGGGAGGAATCTCTTCTGTTCTGCCACCAATGCTACAGCTACAGGCAGTGACAGTAACAACAAACCGAAAGCTAAGTGAGTTTTTATTTCTTCACATTTCTTGCTTGGCCAATTAGCTGCTGCTATTGGATGTAGTTCTTGCTTACAAAACCACTATCCTTAGTTCTGTATATCAGCTTGTCTCTAAAAGAAACATTAATTATCCACTGATGTTTTCTAGATCTACACCTGTTCCTTTACAATTTAATGCCTATCCATTAGGACCATTACAATTGTATTTCAGGTGATGATCGAGCGGATGAAAGTAACCATTATGAATCTAGGGTATCAAAACGAACCATGCAATTACTTTTGCACCTATGTTGGCTAGCAGTTATCAATCTCTTTGATATTACTTGCAATGGTGCGATTCATGAATCAGGGTCTAAGGAAACCTTGAACATTCACACCTGACTGATGATTTTGCCCATCAGATTTCTTCCATCAAATGCCCAACCAGATGGTTTGTTTTTGCTTCTATTTTGAAGTAGTTTGAGACACTGTTTTTAGTCTAAAATGGCAATGAGGTGGACTCCCTTAAACCTCTTCCTTTTTCATCCATTTGTAGTGCTTTTTGCACTTGAGATTTCCATTTCTTAAATGGGTAGAGACACTGATTAGAGGACCAACTACGTACAGGACCAAGAAATTATACAATGATCAGGACATGACTTAG